AAAATAGGGGTAAAAGAAGCAGATCTAGAAATATCTTTAGGACAATTCGGTTCCCCAGGAAGAAATGATCGAGGAGAAAAGCTACTAGGATTCCTACTCCAGAATAACTTATTCAACATGAACAGCTTCTTTCACAAAAAGATGCACAGAAGATGGACTTGGGAAAGTCCAAACGGTAGAACAAGGAACGAAATCGACTACATCATAAGTGATCAAAAACAAATAATTAAAGATGTAACAGTACTCAACAAGTTCACCGCAAACAGCGACCACAGGATGATACGAGCGAAAGTTCAAATCAATATAAAAAGAGAAAGGAATATAATGATTAAAAATAAATTTCATGGTATCTGGACACCCCCATTAGATATCAACCAATATCAGACACATATCAATAATAAGCTTCTATTGCAGGAAACCTCCGCTAACGATATTAACGACTTGAATAACTGCATCATAAACGCCTTACAAGAAAGTCACCGAGTGCACTGTCCTAAAAGAAAATCAGATAGTAAAATAAGTCCATATACTGAAACGCTCTTGGATCAAAGAAGACAAATGAGAAGCGATAAGAATGTAGATAGCAACACTTTAAGAAAAATGAACAAAACTGTTTCGAAAGCAATTAGGAGAGATTTAAGGAAATTTAATACCGATTATATTAAACGCACTATAGAGGAAAATAACAGCCTAAAAGTTCTACGTAGAAAGCTAACGAATGGGAAATGCGAAATTCATAAATTAAGAAACAAGCAAAATGAAATAATATCACGTAGAGACGAGTTAATACAGGTCGTCGAAGAGTTTTACGAGGACTTATATAGAAGTAGACGAGAAGATAAGTAGACAGGAATACAAACAGCCATTTCAAAGAAGATCAAGAATCAAGGTTCCGAACTAATGCCAGAGATAAAGCTAGATGAGATTCGACAAGCATTAAGAAAAATGAAAAATAACAAAGCCCCAGGAGAGGATGGAATCGTAATAGAAGCTATCGTAAATGGAGGAGATATGCTATTAAATAAATTAAGGAAACTATTCAATCTATGTTTGCAGCAAAGAGAGGTGCCCAAAGAGTGGAACAATGCTACAACCATCCTTTTGCATAAAAAAGGAGATAGAACGGACCTAGAAAATTATAGACCTATCAGCCTGTTGAACCACATATACAAGCTCTTCACTAGGGTAGTGACATCAAGATTGGAGAAAAAATTAGATTTCTACCAACCGAGAGAGCAGGCAGGATTCCGCTCAAATTATGGTACCAATGATCACCTCCACACAGTAAAGACACTCATTGAAAAATCTATAGAATATAACAAACCTCTTGTTCTCACTTTCATAGATTTTCATAAAGCGTTCGACACGATCGAATTAGACAGCCTTATAGAAGCAATGAATGATAGCAGGATTGACCATAGGTATAGTGAGCTTATTTATAATATTTACAAAAATGCCACTATGACTGTTAAAATAGACAACAAAATCCGACCAATAAAAATAAATCGTGGAATAAGGCAAGGAGATACATTGTCGCCGAAATTATTCATAACGGCATTAGAATATGCCTTTAAGATGTTCAATTGGGACCACAGAGGAGTAACGATAGACGGCGAAAAGCTTAACCATCTCCGTTTCGCAGATGGCATTGTCCTTATCACAGATAATTTAGGAGAAGCTACAGATATGTTAAACGAATTGGATTTTGCATGTTCGAAGGTGGGCCTGAGAATGAACTTGACCAAAACTAAGTTTATGACAAATTTGGTCCCCAATAACCATTTGACTATTCAAGACAAAGTGGTAGAACTGGTGGAGAAATATACGTATTTGGGTCATGAAATAAGAATCAGCAGGGATAACCAAACATGTGAGATCCAAAGACGAATTACTTTAACATGGGCAGCCTTTGGAAAACTGCGAGACACACTTAGGGCCAACATACCAATCAGCCTCAAGAGAAAAGTGTTTGACCAATGCGTATTACCGGTCATGACCTATGGGGCGGAAACTATGACTTTAACCAAGACCACGGCTTCGAAACTGAGAGTGGCACAGAGACGAATGGAACGGTCTATGCTGGGAGTGACGTTGAGGGACCGAATAAGAAACGAAGATCTGCGAAGAAGGACGAGTATTACTGATGTTGTGGAACGCATAGCGGAACTAAAATGGAACTGGGCAGGCCATGTACCGAGAATGCACGATTCACGATGGACGAGCAAAATTACAAGTTGGAGGCCAAGAGCAGACAAACGCAGTAGAGGTAGACCACCTACACGTTGGGCCGACGACATCAGGCGTATCACTAAAAATTGGCAACAAAGAGCACAAAATCGTGAGGAATGGAGGAGTTTAAGGGAGGCCTATGTCCAGCAGTGGACGTGATAAATAGAGGCTGGATGATGATGATGATGAGCACAGCAAAAGACATGCGGTAATTGTACATGTATATAAAAAATTCATGTAAAAAATTTTTATAAAAACGCACAATTAATGTGCAGAAGAACTAAAAGATCTAAAATGCACTTCCAACAGTAAATCATATATATATATATATATATATATATATATATATATATATATATATATATATATATATATATATATATATATATATATATATATATATATATATATATATATATATATATATATATATATTAAATTAAGGATCACTCAAAGAGTGATGGGTTTTTCGGTCAAAAGGTAGAAAAACAAGACAAAGAAGGTGGCAACTCCATCTATTTATTGGACGTTTTACTTTTTAATCAGAAAGTATCATCAGTTCATCTAAAACGAACAGTATGAAAAACCCAACATCCATATAAAAGTTATTACAAGTGTGTTACCTCAAAAAGACATGTAGCAATCAATGATATTAAATGTGTAAAAAAGTTTACTACAATGGACATTCTGAGATCATGTTGTATAAACAATTAATTGAATCTAGACACAGTTTACAAATTAACAAACCTAGTACAGCAAAAGAACATGTGGTAATTGTACATGTATATATAAAATTTATGAAAAAAACAAAAATGGATGGATTGCCAGAGCTGTTATATTGGCCAAACTTCTCAATGGCTAAAACAAGGGGTCATACAACACAAAAATGACTGTACAAAAAAGAAGAATACATGTGCGGCAGTTGACCATTACTTAAAAACTGGGCATCAATGTGACTACTCAAATGTCAGGGTTCTACAGCAAGAGAACAATTACAAAAAAAGATTGTTTTTAGAAATGTGTCATATTAATAAAGAAACATATGCAGTAAATTACAAGGTAGACACTGGACAGTTGAGCAATATCTACTGTAATATTCTTAGCACGTTCAAATAATTTTTCTGTTTACAATTATATTTTATATCACCCTCTATATTTTTAATGTGTAATTTTATTGTGTTTTAATTGTTTCTTGGTTGTTTTTGGTTGCTATTTTTTTTAATTTAATTATTAGTGAACTAGGTGCTTTTAACTGATATTGTTAGTACTATTTTGAATATATTATATACAACATTTTTAAATATTTTTAACTCTAAATCTGTAAGTAAATCATTGTTTATTCTCACCTGATATTTATATAAATTTTAACCATATTTTAGTTGTCTCCTGATGAAGCTGACAAAAAATCAGTGAAATATAGAGTAATAAAAGAAAAAAGAATTTTTTTTAAATAACAGACCACATACTCGATACACCAACACAATAAATTGTTATATATATATATATATATATATATATATATATATATATATATATATATATATATATATATATATATAATATTGAAACCTGTGTAAAAAACGTATTCAGCATGAATATGATACCAAACTTAAAAGTCATGGCAAAATATCAATTCTGAATATAAAGGTATTTAAATATTACATACATAAAAAGAAGTAAGAAAAGTGTTCCTGTAGAAAGAAAAGAGATTATTTCGATGTAGTGATAGTACATGCAAAAAATCTAAAAAAAATCATAGCCAAAAAAGAACAGTCAATGAAACTTCTCGAAATCAAGGCAGAAATTATTTCATTGATGTGACAAGGTTTTGAAATATAAAAGCTATACACAACTTCCATTAAAGGATTTTCAACAGGTTTAAAAGTACCACAGGATGTAAGATGGAGACTAATATTAAAAATATAGGTAACGATTGGGGGATTTTCTAATTCAACAAAACTAATGACTAAAATTATTAAATCTCATGACAATATATCTTACTCAAATTATAAAAATATGTTGTTGATTGTCTTCTGGTATGCTCGGTACTTATCATTGTATACTGCCTGCTTTCTTATCATTCAAGTTATATGAACACAAATCAAAAACCAAGTTATGAGAGAAAAGTTTTAAAATTGATGAAGTGGAACATCTGCTAGGTACATGCTAGAATTTCTGATTTGTATATTAAATCAATCGAAGCGATATTAATTATCAAACTTTTTACTAGTGATCAAAAGACTTTCGTATCAATAAATGCAAGTTTGTTTTTTCTATATATTTTTTAAATAAAAATACTTTTCACTAACTCTAATATACATTACTTCCTTTTAAAAAGCTAAACAAGGCATGTATATCAAAATTAATTGTTATTCCAGATCAGTGAGTGAAAGGGAGTGAGAAGAAGTTACATCTACATCCACTCAGTAACATCATAATATCTGTAGAACTTAAAGACAAAACGCCAAGAAGGAAATAATTCTAGACAATGGCCTGCATTAATCTGAATTAACAAATTTTCCTGACCAGTTTTCTTTTTTCTGGATAAGATATTCTGCATTTATGCCATATTGATATAAAAAAAAATTGGACTTACTAAATACATGCAGCTCCACTACTAATCCACAAAGCCTTTGAATTTATGTATTTCACATGACAGGGTTGATATATTAGCACTTAAAGGACTATGTTGCTATTCCCAAACACTAAATTTTACAAATATAGGCTCACATGAAGTTCAAAAATACACATAAATAAATATCTAGACTTACCATTACTGAAAATCCACATGAACTCAACAACTGTGCCTTAAATAATCGGCAAAAGTGCATAAAATTTGTGGGATCAGCTTGTAATCCCAACAAAGTTTTAATTTTTCCCCCTACTCCTATTTGAAAGTTCCATCCAGCAACATGATGGTTCTTCTCCCATATCCTAAGAATGTCATAAAATAAATCCCTTTGCTTCCTGAATGATAAAAAGCTAACATCATTAGGGAAGTTATCTTTACTATCAGTATCCAGATTGTATCCAACATTGGATCTGCCTTCAAATATTTCAACAATCCTATCTAATTTTTTCTCCGCACACTTTCTTAGTTTCTCAGAAAATTTGATGGAAAACTCTTTAATTCTTTTATTAAAAGATAACATTTTTAGTGTTGTTTTATCATAATATTTTAGTACATCAAACTGTGATTCTAAACATCTAACAGCAAAATATAAAACATTGTGAACATTTTCAAAATAGTCAGAACAACTTATCACCCTGCTTTTTGATGTTAATTCATGTTTTACATCTTCACTTAAAAAATCTATTCCTACATGTGAATCATCAACTTGATCTGAAATGTATTGTTTACTGACTAACAAATATGTCAAAAAATATATTTCTCCAGTAATGTTTAACACCATGTGGTTCTTTAATATAAGGATATAAATATCTGACAAAATAGTTAATTCATTTTTATAAGTAACTAAATCCAACTGAGGCTCAATTTGCTCACTTTGGTCAGGTAGTATTATCTTTCTTGAACTAACCAATGCTGATCTATCATCTGAATCATTTGCTGTTAAAAACTTTAATCGTTCCTTAGCTAAATTCATTCTAGATGTATTTACATTATCACAAACAACTTCTTTTGTATTAAAATTATTAAAACTATTGGACGATTTAAAAGCTTCATTAGTATGTATGTTATTAAGGCTTGTTGGAGTAATCCTCTTGTTGAAATCATCATTTACTTTTTTCAGAGAGGGTTTCCTCTTTGCAGGTTTCATTACATTTGTAATAACAAAATCTCCAAGACAAACAGTATGTTTTTTACCCTTTGAATTATTAAAATTTTGTTCACTATAAAGTGGAGATACCGGACTATAGTAACTTAAATTTAAACGTGAGTCTGAATTGATTTTGGTACATTTTGGAGTGCTTATATTTGAGTTACATAAAAGATCTCCGAAACTTTTGTCAAGTGACTTTACAGACGAACCAGGAATAGTTGATGATTTTTCTATTAAACTGATTTGTTGCCCTAACGTTTTTTGCTCGTTTGTAGTAGGTTTTATCTTTCTGGGTGTACATGTTTGAGAAATGGTTCCAGATTTATTGTGACTAAAATATATTCGACAATTAGAAACAAAAAACGTTAAATATATATTTAGGTACTTACATGCTAATATCCTCATGTACAAAATTTAAAAAATACGTTAAAAACTCATTTTGGGAACAGTTAAAATTGCATTGTTGGTCCTAAAATCAAAAAGTAAGGTTAACTTTCATTTACTAAGATACTCCTAAGGATTACCTGCGACAAGATCCATTGTTTAAAATTATAAAAATTAATTTCGTTATTTACTAACTTTTGTAATAAAACTTCAGACATTTTTCTTAATTGGAACTCTACATTATTTTAGTTTTAAACAATATACAGCTAATGGCGGTAAAATTATTAATCAGATGTTAGGCAATTTTTTATACGATATACTGTATTATGAGTCACCTATGACTTAGTAGATCATTTTTTTCTGTATTATGTATTAATAATAAATTAAATTAAATACTTGTTACTAGATACTAACTTAATTTTATGGGTTTGTTAAATTATGTTAAATTAAAAGAAAATTATATAGTTTAACACTTTAACGACCAGGCTAATATAAGAAACCTTTACTGTCGGATCAGATACTTTTTATTTCAAAAACTGTTTTATTGATAGATATAGGCCAAATTAAATATTTTTTTAGGAAAATCAAACGTTATTTTAATTAAATTTATTGCGTGTCCATTTTTGATACACGCGGTCTGGTATAAAACTCAAGACGTTTGGCTTCGTACATGACCATGTGCATCAAATTTGGACACGTTACTTTTTTACAGAAACAACATGAGTAGCAAAAAAACATTTGTGACATAGACATAGATACAGATTAACTTCTTTACATGGTATGCACGTCATGGACACCTTTTTAGCATTTTTTACGGCCTGTGCACGTCCATATTTCATAGTAATATTCTTGTAACATGATGAACATCTCCCACGTTTTGTTAGGTCTGTGAGACAATGGTCCGATTCCTTTGGTTCTGTTTTTTTTGTCATTGATATCTAACTGAAGTAATGCCATTACCAATTGTTCACGAAACTGAGTTATTGATATTTTCGTCTTAGTTACTTCTGTGAATAGGGGAGGGTATTCCACAGCGAAACATGTACCACACTGAAACAAAGAGATTTTAAAATTTAAATACCGCGCCAAATCAACGCAACCTTCGCTTCAGAGAAGAAGTTCCCGCCGTCCTCTACTTGTTATCTTAACCTCAGTGACCAGTGTGTGTCTGTGCGTGTGTGTGTGTGTGTGTGCGTGTGTGCGTGTGTGCGTGTGTGCGTGTGTGCGTGTGTGCGTGTGTGCGTGTGTGCGTGTGTGCGTGTTTGCGTGTGTGCGTGTGTGCGTGTGTGCGTGTGTGCGTGTGTGCGTGTGTGCGTGTGTGCTTGTGTGCTTGTGTGCGTGTGTGTGTGTGCGTGCGTGCGTGCGTGTGTGTGTGCGTGTGTGTGGGTGTGTGTGGGTGTGTGTGGGTGTGCGTGTGTGTGTGCGTGTGTGTGCGTGCGTGCGTGCGTGTGTGTGTGTGTGTGTGTGTGTGTGTGTGTGTGTGTGTGTGTGTGTGTGTGTGTAAATCCGCCGTTCTGTTGCGACGAAAAAAATATTGTTTTTCTGGTTCCAAGTAAATTTTAAGTGATATATTTTCAACCCGGTAAGTCTCCAATTATTTAATTTAATATGTTGTTACGTTAATTGTTGGGAAAAGTGTTTATTGGCACAGTGAAACATGTTTCACTGTACCCCATGACACATGCAACAATGTTTTAATTATTTATTTTTTAGTTGTCATCCAAGTTAGAGATGCGCAAAACAAACATTGGCATTTTCAGTCAAGAGCAGATGAAAGCAGCTGCGCGTCTCGTTGTTCAAGAAAATCTGCCTATAAGACGAGCAGCCGAATTACAAGGTGTTGCCTATGTTACTTTGTTTAGGTAAGAAATCAGATGCATTTAAGTAACTTTTTCTGTTGTATGATGGACTTTTTTTTTCATTTCTAAAAATAGTTTTTCTTTTTTTTTAGGTATGTACGCAAAGTTAAAGCGAACCCCGATTCAAACACTGTTTTTCGTTTCAAATATGATGTGAGGTTAATTTTTACACATGATGAAGAGAAAACCTTAGTTGACTATATTTTGACCTCTGCAAAGATATGGACTTACTCCACTGGAATGCCGCAAGCTTGCGTTTGAGTCAGCAATAAAAAACAATAAGGAAATCCCTAATAATTGGAAAGAAAAAAATGGCAGGTAGAGAGTGGTATTTTGGCTTCAGGAAAAGGCATCCAGAATTAAGTTGTCGAAAACCAGAAGCTTGTAGTTTATCCCGTTTTACTGCGTTTAACAGGTACAATGTTTCAACTTTTTTCAAAAATCTTGAAACAGTTCTTAAGCGTGAGTCTCGTTTTAGTGATGGCAGTAGAGTCTTTAATTTAGACAAAACTGGAACCACCACAGTTCATACTCCTCCTAAAACTCTTGCCAAAAAAGGTATGAAACAGATTTCTCAATGTACTAGTGGAGATAGAGGGGTTCTTGTAATGACCTGCAGTATCATTTGTGCTGGTGGTTATGCCTTACCTCCGGCCATGGTATTTCCCAGAGTTCATTTCAAGGAAATTATGATACAAGATGCTCCAGCTGGTACGTTGGGATTGGCTGCTTCTTCTGGATGGATGAACAGGGAATTATTTCCGCAAGTAATGGAACATTTTATAAAATATTCTTCTAGTTCTTGTAACAACCCCAGCCTGTAGACAAACAATGCCATGCAAGGTTGGCTTCTTAATCACCCTGGTATTCCAGTAAATATTTTTAATGTCGGAAGTTTTGTTTAAGTTGCGCATGAAAGATCAATGACACCTACGAACATCAGTTCAGGATTTAAGAAAACTGGCATCTTCCCTTATGATCCAGATTTATTTTCAGATGACGATTTCCTCATGTCGGCTGTAAAAGACAGACCAGAAAATGATTCTGAACCAACAGTTATTCAACAGCCTGAGCAAGAAATAGAAAAACAGCAAGGCATCGAGGGAACTGATGAAACGCCAGAAGAAAATAAAACCAATAATAAATCTTCTTTTGTTTCTCCACAAATCTTTCGAGGATTTCCAAAGGCACAAAAAAGAAAGATTCAGAAATCTAAAAGGCAAGGAAAAACAATTATTGCGACTGACACTCCTGAAAAGTACGAACTAGCTAAAAGGGAATTGAGTAGAAAAAAAGTAAACCAAACAGCTGTTAAAAAGGTGGCAAGAAAAATTACAGATGATAATGATGACGAAGAACAAGAATGGCAGGAATCATCAAGTGAAAGCGATTGGACACCGGAAGATCCAATTCCAGATCTTACTGAGGCATTAACCAGACCTCTAACTAAAAATAACTTCGTTTTGGTACAGTTTACGACCAAGAATTTGATTTACTTTGTTGGGAAAATATTGAACGTTTTGGAAAAAGATGAATTTGAAATTTCCTTTATGAAGAAAAGCGCAAAACAAACTGGCAAATTCTTCTTTCCTACAAATCCAGATATTTCAGTTGTTCATTTAGAAGATATTAAAATGCTTTTACCTCAACCGATTCTTTCTGGGTCAACGTCAAGACAAAATGCCTACATGAGTTTTGAATTAAATTTTAACAATCATGACGTTCGGTAAAATATATCTATTAATAAGTTCATTTAGGTCCTAGTGAGTAATACTTGTATGACACTACATATTTTACATTAAACATATTTTTGTTTAGAAAGTGTTTTATACCGATATTTTCAGTGTGCCCCATATTTGGGGCACATGGGAAACAAATTTTTATTGCCATGTCATTTGGGAAACAAATGACATGGTAATAAAAAAATAATAAAAGATAGATAATATTATTAGGTAATTCAAACCAATCGCTGCTATAATGACAAGTAATATCTAATATTTGCGATATTACAAACAAATTATACAAAAATCAAATTTTTCTAAAAAAAATGTCATTTGAAAAAAAAATGATCCACTGTGGAACACTCTCCCCTAGTTGATGCGCGTTTACAACTGCTGTGTTTGTTAACAACTCAAAAATAATGTTTCGGTACCACTTAATCCCTAAAAATAAAACAAATAATATGTTTGGTTTTTCGGCAAATATTAAAATTTTACAAACCTTTCCGAATTGTAGTTGCATATCGATGGTGAGCAGGCAAAATGTTCTATCTCGCATTTTGTCGATTTTTATATTTTTGTTCGAAAAAATTTTAGATGTGACTATTTATCACCCCATTAAGGAATATTTGCGAAAATCGACAACATTGTCTCGGCACCTGCGCATATCAATTTGGCGTATTAAAAACAGACACCAATTGGAAATTGGAATGTTAAATATCTAACGTCCATTCTAATTTGCGTGAAGTGCAAGCGTGTAGCGGTGCATATTGTGCTAATTATGTTGGTATAATCACTGTAAATAGTGACCTGTTTTACTAGAAAAAGGTATGTATTGATTCTTAAGTTCTGTGAGCATTGTATTATTTATATGGAATTGGATAAAAATCTTATTTTAATTAAAAATAACGTTGTATTTAATACTTACGTAGATAGGACAATTTGTCAGAAAATAAATTGTTCTAGTAGAAGTCTGTTAAACGTGTCAAATGGAGGTAGGACAATTTGTCTTTATGCATAATATAAATTGAAATCCTTTTTATACATAAATTAGGGGTGACTGTTATTATTTATATTACAGAGTGATTTAGAGGAATCATGAACCGAGGAAAGAAGTTAGTAAATACGTGTAAAATACAAAATTCGCGGGAAACCTGCAATAAGTCAATGAACACACCTTCCACTGAGGTATTATTTTTTAGTGTATATAATGAAAGTGTTTTTAATTTAATAATTGTTTTATAATAATAAATGTTGTTGTTTAATAATAAATATTTAATAATAAATGTTTTAGGCAAGTACGATTGCTAAGGTTACCGATATGCCCACTGTCTCTTTGATGCAAATTCCGATGGCACCCTACAATACATTAAACCAACCCTCCGCTCAGGTAACATTTTTAATTGTTGCATAAAAGTCTCTTTATATTTTAGTTCGTAATTTTTAGGAAAACGAGGTTTCTGAAGTGACCGATACATCAACTGTCACTCTAATAACTATCCGAGATGAAACTGTTGGCAGTGAAATAATTTCAATTAATGAAAATCTTATATCTCTCCCAGAAAAATCTGAATTCCCCCAGGATATTACTCACACTGCTAGTACTTCTCCTGTATATACGATCAATGATTTTTTGGACTTAAATAATATTTCAGGATTAAATCCTGAAAATGATACCAAAAGTTACACAGACAATATTTCTCAAGAAAGCTTACCCGAT